TTAAGTTGTCTAGAAGCATAAGCTATGACCTTACCTCGCTGCATCAACACACAATCAAGGCCGACCTTGGATGCATCACAATAAATTACATAACCGTCTAAACCATCTGGTAGAGTCAAAATCGGAGTTGTAGTTAACTTAGTTTTTAGTTATGAGAAACTTTTCTCACACTCATCTGACCACTGAAATTTTACCTTCTTCTGAGTCAACTTGGTCAATGGGGAAGATATGGATGAAAATCCTTCAACAAATCTCCTGTAATAACCAGCCATACCTAAGAAACTTCTGATATCTATTGTAGAGGTGGGTCTGGGTCCGTTTTGTACTGCCTCAATTTTATGAGAATCCACTCAGATCCCTTCACTGGATACCACATGACCAAGGAAAATGACAGACTGTATGCAAAATTCACATTTGCTGAACCTAGCGCATAGCGAGCGATCTTTGAGAGTTTTCAAAACAACTCTCAGATGAGTCGCATGCTCTTCCTCATTCCCAGAATAAATAAGGATATCATTGTTAAAGACAATGAAGAACAAGTCCAAATAATGTTTGAACACCCTATTCATAAAGTCCATGAAAGTTGAAGGAGCATTTGTTAGTCCAAAAGACATAACTACAAATTCATAATGATCATACCGAGTTCTAAAAGCTATCTTCGGAATGCCACTATCTCTGACTCAGAGCTAATGATTGCCGAATCTGAGGTCTATCTTAGAAAATCAACTAGCACCCTTAAGTTGGTCGAACAAGGCATCAATCCTGGGATAGGATACTTATTCTTGATTGTTACTTTGTTCAACTACCGATAGTCAATGGACATTTTGAGAGAACCATCTCTCTTTTTCACGAACAACACAGGAGCACTCCATGGAGAGATACTGGGTCTGATGAAGACCTTATCTAGAAGGTATTTTAATTGTTCTTTCAATACCGTAAGCTTGGCTGGAGCCATTCTATAAGGAGGAATTGACATGGGTTGGGTATCTGGAAGGAGATCTATTTCGAAGTCAAATTCCCTTTCGGGAGGAACTCCGGGAAGATCTTCTGGAAACACTTCTGGAAACTTATTTACTACTAGGACTGACTCAATTTACCACCCAATTTTTGTTGAGAGTATTCATAATTCCATGTTCTAGTCTTCTTGTTCTCTTTAGCCATTTCCCTAAGCTTATCTCCCTTAACCTGTTGAGCATGAGTGATAAGCCTAGAGATATTCATATCCTCTAACATCATAGCATTCCTGTACTCTGTCTTCACCCAGTCGGATACCCCAAACAAAAACTTACTCATTTGTGCCCTTGGATCGACAACCATGTGTGGAGCATACTTGGAGAGCTAGGTGAACTTAAGTCCGTATTCTTGGACTGACATGGTACCCTGCTTCAAATTCATAAACTCTTGTGCCTTAGCTTTTCTCAACTCCCTTGGGAAGAATCCATCCAAAAAAGCTCCAGTGAAACACTTCCAAGTCACAGGAGAAGAATTTGCATTGGAGACACCTTTATAACTTAATTTACTCTATACCCACTTAATTTATTTTTGCTTTATTTTCTTGGTTGGGCTTTTTAAAAAGGAAAAGTGTGGGGTCATGGTTCTCTTTGGCCTTTTTAAAACTTGGGGTATATTTGTGAATGTGGGGTCATGGGCTTGTTTATTGTTTTTAAAACTTGGGGAAAAGATATAACTTTACAAAAATATATTATAATCCCAATACATTTTAAAAAATATTATATGCCGATAAAATATTATTTATTGATGAAAATTGAGGCACCTTTTTTGAATATTTGTTCCGACGTTTCTTCCTCCAAGTGCAAGGGTTTTTCATCTTCCCCATACACTTCTCTTCCAGTGTAATCATACGCTACTCTTTCCCATACACTTCTCTTCCATTAACTTATACAAACTTTTCTCACTTTTCGTCGTCCTAAACCCCTCTCAAATCATCATTTGTTTTTTTCAATCTTCTTCTCCAAGTTCAAATTAAAGCCCTCATCTTTGGTATGTTGAACCTTATGTAATGGTGTTCTTCGATAATTATTGTCCATATTTGGTTTTTTATTTTTTTATGGTAGTGTAATGATTTAATGGCCTCTTTTTCTGGATTGTTTTTGTTGATGTTCTTGTTTGGGATGAAGTTTTTTCTCTATATTCAGTGTATTCGTTGTCTCTAATGACATTTTTGTTTGTATCTAAATATTTTGCCCTATTTGGTTGCTTATTTTTTAAAATTATTTTTACGTTTATTTCGCCTATTGATTTTGAAATATTTACTAAACTTTGATCGACTTTAGTGGCGTTTCTGTCAATCGCATTGTTGATTTCTGTTGGATCTACTATTTATTTTGCATGTTTTATTTGAGGTTTACTCTATTTATGTTAATAAACTAGTGGTCGATAAATATGTTTTTGCTTGTAGATTATAAAGTATGGCTAAAACTAGAGGTGGAAGCACTAAACCATCTGCTCCTATTGCTTCTAGCATTAAAAAATGAAAGGCTGAAGAAGTTTTGAAAACTTGTAAAAAGAAAAAAATTGCAGTCGAAGAATCCGAGTCTGATTTAGAAATGAAAACAATGGCGGAGATTGACAATTACCAGGACAGTAGTCCTGATGAAAGTGATAATGTTGAGAGTAATGAAGGGGAAAGTGATAGCGAGAAGAGTAGTAGAGATGAGGAAGATCATGTATCCTTGCCCATTTGTGCAAGAGATATCTCTGGTGAGTTGTATGACCTAGCAACATGGTTAGATGAGGTAGGATCATTTCCAGCCAAGATCTCTGTAAGATCAAGGATGACAATTTATCGTGACTTTAGAAAAATTCTGGTTGAACAAAAACTTTATAATGAATTTAACGGTACTTGCTTTGGACATTTGAGGCATATTCCAGATTATTTTAAGTTCAATGGACAGATTGTCCATTATATGTTGTTGTGACAGGTGAGAAATGACAAAACATTGCATAAAATTTGGTTTTGTGTGAATGATAAGCCTACATGTTTTGGCTTAAAAGAATTTACGTTAATTACGGGGCTGAATTGCTCAGCATATCCCCCGTGAATTAAAACTGAACAAAGTCCTTAGGAAAGGTGAGCATTTTCATTTCAAAGTAACAAGGAACAAGAACATCACTGGTGCAAAGTTGATGAGATTAATCAAGAGTAACAAATTAAATAAGCAACAGAAATTGAAGTGCTCTTTAGTTTGGTTCGTCCACTCGATGTTGCTTGCCCATGATCGTTCTAAGATTGTGGATTCAAACCACATCAAGATGGAAGATGATTTGGATTTCTTCAACAGTTATCCATGGGGAAAAGAGTCATTTGATTTAACATTGACCTATCTGAAGATTCAAATTAATTTGAGAAGGCAGGGGGGAATGTATAATGAAAAGAAGAATGCATGTTATGCTCTGTACGACTTTCCCTGGGCATTTCTAGTACTTATTATCAACTATTTAGTCAATTTATGATACTCTTATTATTTGTGTAGTACTTCATAGACTCTATTTATTTGTTTGTTGTTCTATGGATTGCAGGTTTGGATATATGAGGCTTTTCCATATCTTGGAAAGTATGTCGGGAAGTCCTTGGACACTCCACCTCCCATTCCCCGTTTACTCAGATGGTACACATCAAAGAGCGATAATATAGTTGAACGTGTTCCATTTAAGTACAAAGGAAGAAGTACGAAGGTATACAATTATGTGTTATGTGTGGTTATACAATCAACATCTTTAGAACATAAGCATGCGATCATGTATGAGTCTACATAAATTAGGGTGACAATCAACAATGTGTGGTTAAACAAGTGATATCCTCACAATATACTTATGCTTTCTCAAACATTGTTCTAAGGATGTTGATTGTATAACCACAACTCTTCCTCATATATCTCTAATCACCACACCCAATTTATATGGAATCTTACATGATCATATGACTTGTTTAAACTCATTTAATTGGATAAATTTCAAAAATATAATTTAATTATTAATTAATTGTTGTCTTTTCTAAATTCTACTAGTTCTGGTCTACATATAAGTATCAGATTCTAGTAGGTGAAGTATCGACAATGCTTTAATATATATTTAACCCCGAATATACCTTACTAATGTCAGAGTGTAAATCTCATTGGTCATACATACACAAAGCACATAGAGATGCATCGATTGTATAAAGGGTCTATATATTTTGATAATCAGTAAATATTTACATATACAAATTTTACAATGGTAAAAAATTTCAAATTGCTACTTTTTCAATGGTAACATCTGATTTTTTGACAATTCTTTAAGGATTCGTTTGGTAGAGTGTATATGCAAATAATGCTTGTATTAGTTATACCTAGATTATTTCTTAAGCATTGTTTGATTTGGTGCAATAAAAATAGTCACAATTTTCGTACAATTTTTTTTGAGTTTTTTAGAGCACTTCCTTCTTTAATAATATTCTAATTCATGCATTAAAATAATTGCATTACGAATACCATGAATTTTCATATATTAATTATACACAACTTAATACACAATGAGTGGACTAGATAATAAACATTAATAGACAGTGTACAAAATGTATGTCATCTTTTGATTGATCTATATTAGATCATGAGTAATTACGATAATAGCAATTGACCAAAATGCTGGTAGCCAAAAAAAAGTAGCTTGATTACAAAAACGATTACAAAAACAAATTCAATCAAGCTTAATTAAGATTTGTTGTTGTTCACACATGTGGTTCTCTTGTGTCCGGTTCTCTTGCAAATTGAACATTTGTTCCTTCTCTACCTTTTGAAATTCTCACCGAACCCTTTGACACATTTTCTTCGTTTTCTTCCAAGCTTGGTATCGACAAGAGGCCGAAGAATCTTCACATTAAGCAATTCTTCTGGCACACACCATTCTGACTCGAGAGGGACAACATTAATAGAATCTAAATATGCAAGGAGGTATGATTCATCTTTATACAAAGGCAAAGAGTACTCATAAATGCTCATACCTTACTCATTGCCATGCTTCGATCGCAAAGTGGCCATCGCGTGAGCACAAGGTATCTTGATCAAGTCATATTCTCTACAAGAACATGACTTTTCTAGTAGGTCCACATAGGTAGTAAAACCTGCACCGAACACAGTAAATTGATTGCCGTCCCCGATTACGTTCTCCACATATAAGGAGCCGCCCTCGATCATTTTCTTTCTTGCAATTTTTTCAACAGAAGGCACCATTTGATTAACCACTGATTTAAGGATATATGCATGCCTCTCCCTGAACAATTCTCCAAACCTCTTAGCAATCGAATTAAATATTGATGCCACAGAATACTCCCTTTCGTCTATCAACATAGCATTGAGTGACTCGGCGATATTTGTGGTCATCACATCATATCTATTGCCAGGAAAATGTGCCCTGCCCCACTTCACTAAACCAATATCATACTCAAGGACGATGACTGCCGCGGGACATTTGTTCTTGAGTTCTACAAAATGATTGTCAAATTCCTCCAAAGAACAAGCCTTTGCCGCATTGTAGTAAAGATAAAGGTAATCTCCAAATGATGATTTATGCGGAGATTTTCACCGAGGTGCCTCATACAATAATATCCGTGGTGAGCATGATTGTAAGCATTCACAATGCCTTTGGTGATGCTCTTGTGTCTATCGGAGATAAAGCAGAAATCTGGTTCATCGACCATCATCTCCTTCAATTTCTCAAAGAAGAATGTCCAAGATGCATCATTCTCTTTGTCCACGACACAAAAAACAATTGGATAAACATGATTTTCCGTATCTTTTGCAACAACGCTCAACAACACGATATTTACCATGTAAATGGGTGCCATCAACCGTAATTACCTTTCTCATTTGGGCAAATCCCTTAATTCAAGCACCGAAGGCCAATAAATAATACATGAACCTATGACTATCCTTGTTTACCATGATACAATA